GGGGGATGGGCAGGGGGACCGGGGTGACGCCTAGACCTCTGGGGACCTGGGGAGCCTGAGTGGACAGGCCAGGGGAGCCCCGTGTCCCCACCTAAGACACACGCACCGGCTTTAGAGGGACCTGGGAAGGCTTCACACATCAGCTCTGAGCGCAGCCAGTGTGTTCACACCGGGTGGGGGAGTGGGGACCCCGCCAGGAGCTCCCCGTTGGGCAGAGAAAGGACATAACCTTAGGCATAGTGGACACAGCCTTTGGACCAAAAACCAGGCCCAGGGTTTGCATTTAATCCCAGTAACGTTGTATATGGAAGTGGTTTATGCTACCCAAGGGGCCTGTTTCCCCTCTTACTACTTTCTCACGTTGGAACTTGGAACGCAGTCATCTTAGCGCACCTCCATCCTCCACACACCAGACACTAGGTTAGTACTGGCAGGGAGGCCTGGACCCTTAGAGCTTGGAAACATGGTTTCCCAGACATGACATATAAACTCGCCCGTGGCTCCCTCCTCCAGGCTGGCCCAGGCCTCTGCACACATCCCTCTGAACCCTCTGCCAAGTGGGGGCTCCTGCCTGTGTCAGTAACACAAAGGACATAAGGGGTTCCACCCTGGCTGATCCAAGTAACTCGTGTGGTGACAGGATCATGCCGATCTCAGCAAAACCAAAGCCAAGATGGGAAATGGCTGCTGAGGCCTGGATCCTGGTAAACGTGGAGATAGGGGTGATCTGGTCCAGGAACCCCTGTCCTGCCCCCTGAGGCCCCAGACCACCGTGCAGTAAATAGTCTAGGCCCTGTGGCCCTTCTGCGCAGACCCGGGGAGTGTCCGTTGTGGGACTTCCTCAAGGGAAGCCATGGCCCTCGAGGGATGTCCATCAGCATAGTAGTTTTAAGTTTCCTCCAGTTGGGGTGTATTTGGGGGAGAGAAATCAAAAGGGGGAAGTTCGACGAAAACTGGTAGTGGCCCCCTCCGTGAATAACAGTGCGGGTGATGGGCCCTGAGTTTCCTGTGGTTAAGGAGGAAGCTTCCCGGTGGATAAGGAGGGTTTCTGAGCAAGGACAGAAAAGTCCTGGTAGCTCATCAGTAAAGCTGTTGACTAGTAACCCAGATTGGCAGTCCATCTGCACCTCGGGGGGAGGGAGGCATTCTGCGTTATAAAGATCACAGCCAATACACACACACACACACACACACACACACACACACACCCCAGGGTGGGGGGAGCAGTGGTACCGTCACAAGAGGTCGCTAGGAGTCTGACTCAGCTCAACAGTGCCCAGCCACTACAGAGGGGAGAAGGGCCCCCTGCCTGGAAGCTTTAAGGCTGAGGGCAGCCAAGGGTGTCTCAGACACCAGGCTCCCCTGTCCTGGCTAGAAGCACAGAGACCAGGGACCACACCTTTGATTTTTAAAGAATGAAGCTTCAGAGGTGGAGGACCTTGGTTGAGGTCACACAGGCAGGTACAGGCCTCAGGAGCCCCGTTGCCCATCTGGGCAGTCTGATGATTAGGTGGCCAGTTGAAGAGATTGAGGAACTGGGCAAGTTGGTCACGGTGCTATGATGCAACTGACCTCCACCCCGCCCCCCCACTCCTTGTTTCCTGCCGCTGTAAAGTCAGCCTTGGGGGGCTGGGCAGAGGGAAGGGCCAGGCCACTGCACGCGGGCTTGAGGACCTTAAGGCTCCCTGGGTGCCTGCTGCATCTGTGTCTTGTGCTGCTGGCCTGTGATAGCTGACGGAATGTGGGCCCCTGCTCACCGCTGCCTTCCTTGCTCTGAGCCCTGAGAGCTGGGAGTGCACCCCTCCAGGTACAGTGAAAGCCTAGAATCTTGTTCCACACCCCCACCCCACAGCCCTAAGCCTGGAGGAGGGGCCAGTGTTGCTAAAATTAGAAATTCAAAGGAAGATTCCCTTGGCTTGGTTGGAAGAGGAGAAGCCACAGTGAGGACAGGAACCCCAGAACTGATCTGAGTGGTCTCCAGTTGTCCGTGGCTGCCTCTTCCCCAAGCCTCTGGACCCCTCACCTTGAACAGCAGGCTCCTGAGAGGGACTGCAGTTCGGGGGTGGAGTCCCAGGAGACTGCCCAGCTCCTGCCTCTCCTGGCTGGCGCTGCTGCTTCCCAGAAAGGAAAGGGGAGAGCGTGGGGAGCCTCTCTCCCAGCGTAGTAGCAGAAGACAGCTGATGTGGGGTGAATGTCTGAAACCAGCCACAGAAGGGGCCGAGCAGATATTTGCAGACTCCTGGCTTTGGGCAGGCAGGGAGCAGAAGGGACGTGCCAGGACGCAGGAAATCCCTGTTTTCCGTCCTGGCCAGGAGGGGGTGGGGTACGGGGCCAGGCAGAGAGGGGCTGGGAGTGGATCCACACCAAGCTGTGTAGGCAGAACCCTGAAGCCAGTTAGGGCCAGGGAGGGGGCTGGAGCTAGGGACAGCATTGCACTTCCAATGCTGGGGCTTAGGGGACAGGTGAGTTGAGTCCTGGGCCTCATTTTACCTGGTTGGAATGTAGGGCCCACAGAGCGGGGGGCCAGTGTGAAGGTGGATTAGGGAGGAGCCAGCTGGTCTCCTTCCCGTGGTGAGGTCTGAGGGTGTCCTGGGCTGCTCCCTGCCCTCTCCCTTTCATCTGACACCTGAGCTACTGTCTCACTTACCCATTTGCTTCTCATACTCTGCGAGTCCCAGGATGGGGCGAATGGCAGATTCGCCCAGCTTCTCACTCTGAGGTTGACAGTTCAAGTCCACCCAGAGGCACCTCAGGAGGAAGGGCTGGCCACCTAGTTCTCAAGACCCTGCCCTTGAAATCTTGGAGAGCAGTTCTGTGACGCCCCCGAGGGCACTGTGAGTCGGAATCTGCTGGGTTTTCTGATCCTTCTCAAAAGTGTCGTTTCCAGAACACCAAGTTCAATAAACCAGGCCCCCTCAGTCTCGCTGATTCTGACTCACGATGACCCTGTAGGCAAAATCACCTGCCCCGTAGTTTCCAAGGCAAAAGGGTCCTGGGAGGTTAAGTGTTGGGTTGCTAACCTGAAAGGCCCACAGTTCAAACCTACCAGCTGCCCCAAAGGAGAAAGATGAGCTGTCCCCTGTGGTTCAGCCTTACAGCCTTCTAACCCCTCCATGAGGGGTCACAAGAGTGGGAGTGGGCTTAAGAGCACACTCCCGAGTATTAGTCCTTAGAATGCCTGGTGGGATTGAACCTTTGACTTTGTAGTGTGTAGCTGAGCGCTTAACCACTGTATCACTAGGTCTCCTTCACATAAGCTCGCTTCCCAAAGCCCCTCCCTGTCACCGGTTCGATTCCGCCTCACAGCGACTGTAGGACAGGGTTAGGGTTAGGTGCCCGGCGAGTTTCCGAGGCCTGTACGTCTTTGGTTAGTCGTTGAGCGTTTAGCCACTGCACCACCAGGGCCCCTGGGATAAGCTCCCCGTGGGTGTTCTTTTGAGCACACAGGCTCCAGGGAGTCTGCTGTCCTGTTGGAACTATCAGAGGGCCAAGAAACAGGGGGGAGGCAGGACCCATGGGGAAGGGGTGCCCCAGCTCAGCTCCAGCGTGAGGAGCAGCAGGTAACCCCCAAACTTGTGTTCTCTCCCTTCAGATGTGTACTCCCAGCAACACACCTGCCACGCCACCCAATTTCCCCGACGCCCTGGCCATGTTCTCCAAGCTCCGTGCTTCCGAGACCCTGCAGAGCGGCAGCCCCATGACCGCTGTGGCCTGCTCCCCGCCGGCAAACTTCAGCCCCTTCTGGGCCTCGTCCCCCCCCAGCCACCAGGCGGCCTGGATGCCCCCCTCCTCCCCCACGGCCCACAGCTTTCACCACCTCCACCACCCACAGCCCACGTGGCCCCCCGGAGCACAGCAGGGGGGCGCCCCGCAGAAGGCCATGGCGGCAATGGACGGCCAGAGATGAGACTGGGCACTGCCAGGCGGGCACGAAGGGGTGCCTGGGGCTGGGGGGGCACGGAGCGGGGAGCCGGGGCGGGCGGGGGGGGGGGGTTCCTGAAGATCGCACTGGAAGATTTTATAAGAGGATTTTTGTGGGGTGGGGGGGTCTTTGAGGAGTTTCTTCTCAGGCAGGTTTTCTCTTTTTCGTATGTATAATATATATAAAGATAGGCCTATAACTGATGGGTGCAGTGGGCCTGGACGGTGCTTCAGAGGGAAGGACCCGAGACTCCGTCCCTCGGCCACCACGCTGACCTGCACCATATCCCGGGCGCCACTCGGAAGCCACACGGCATGGTCTGCAGCTGAGGGATCTGTCGGTGACACCCTTGTAACCAGGAGGAGGGCAGGCCAATAGGAGGGGTCCCCTAAGAGTGTCTGGAAACATCAAAGCCTCTGGGCCCGAGAGTCCTCCAGCTCCCTGTCCTGGCTGGTGTCCCCCCTTCCCTCACTCGTGGCTGGTGTGGCCCACCAGGTTGTGGAGGTGATGGGCTGAGGACCTGGCTGGCACAAAAGGCCCTGCATGGCCTAGCTGGGGACTTGGCGCCTATGTCCAGGGTCTGAGGAGATGGACCCGGCCTTCTCACACCAGAATCTCCTCCCACAAGGGTGATGTTTTAATTTAAAAACCTGACTTTTCTAACTTCCTGGTCTGCACTGATCTCTTTACTGTCCTGGGGCAGGGTGGGCCGGGGAGGGATCCTGGGTTCCCCAACTGCTGTCGGCAGCATGTGCACCTGAGAAGAAGGCCTCTAGTCCAGAGGTTGGTGGGGTCCTCACCTGCTGACTGCAGCAGGTGTGAAGCCCCCCAGGGGCGAGGGCTGGCCTCCCTATCTGGTGCTCCCCCCAAAGCCATCCTCACCTGGAGCCGGTAGAGGGCCTGCTCCCCCTCCTAGCCTGCCGAGCCCAGCTTCCAGGTGACATGGCTGTGTCCCTGTTCTTTGACTTCCCCAAGTGGCTTTGCTGGCATTCTCTGTCCCTCACTTTCTCAGAGCCCTGTCCCCTGGGCTCAGGACATGCAGGCAGTGTTGACAGCTGGCCCAGGTTTTCCAGGCAGGTGGTCAGTCTGGTCACCTGCAGTGGGAGTGAGTGACCAGCCATGTGGGTGGGGTTCCTTACCATCCACATACGCACACGTCTGGGGTCTTTATCCCTTGGTTTTCCCGCCTGGCCTCTCTCCCTGGGTCTAAGCTGTGGTTGGGTGGACCAGGCAAGCCAGCCTCCCAGCTCTGCTGGGACCTGCAAAGGCTGATACGGGGGGTAACCTCACCCCCAGTGAAGCAGGAGGCTGGCCTCACGCCTCCACATGGGACCTTCTGAACCTTTGGAAACTGGGTTTCTCCTTTCAGTTCTGTTTCCTGAGCTGAGTGCAGCTGGAAACCCTCTTCGCCCACCTGTGCTTTCTTGTGAGGAGGGGGGAGTCCCTGGCAGCTCCCAGTGGGGAGGCCTGGAGGTCAGGCCTGGGAGGCAGGCACCCTGTGGGTCTGGGCAGTGCTCAGTGGTGGTTCTAGTGGGGGACTGGCTGGGGGTTTGGAGGTGGGCAGGGGCACAGGAGTGGAATGTTGACCAGATGAGCGCAGTAGGGTGACCCTGGGGTATAGGAGTTGGGGAGCTGTGCTGAGCACAAGTGCAGGGATTGGGGGTTTGGCCTGGGTTCTGGAGGAGTTGGGTTTTGCCCTTTTGTGAGCGGGGAAGGAGAGCAGCCCATGTTCCTGGGCCAGCAGGTCAGTATGGACTTGAGACCACAGATAGCATTCCATGGTGGGAGTGGGGTCTGAGCCACAGAAGTGGGAGCCAGCGGGAGGGACAGGGAAGGTCACTAGAGTGGAGGTGTCCAAGCCACACCTCTCTCCCCACCCTGCCAGGCGCCCTGCCCCTCCAGCAGGAACACCCGCTGTGTTCCTCCCACCCCACACACCCTGGCCACCTATGCCCAGTGGATGGCAGGAACCTCTGCGGGCTGTTTCCTGTCACCCTCTCAGTTTCCTGTGTGATCCCACCCACACATACCCTAAAGCAGGCGTTGGCCTCCCTGGGGGGTGAGGGCAGCCCCATGTCACAGGTAAGGTGCGGGTGGGGACAGCCCCGCATCTGGTCGTGCTATTCTGAACCGTGGGACCAGAGCTGAGGGCAGAGACTGGCCTTGGTGATGCCCTCACTAGGAAAAGGCACCCCAGAATCTAGCTGCAAGGGACTTGGGAGTTCTCCATGTCCATTGTCACCTTGGGGTGAGCAGTGCGGGAGGAAGGGGCTCCTGAGAAGCCAGCACCTGCTTGAGCTCAGCCCCCTGGGCCCCTCTGTCCCTTTCAGCCTCCGTGACATTTCACACAAAGGGCCAAAAGTGCTCCTTGGTCTGGAGGTTTTGTGGAGGGACACTGAGCCCTGCTGAGCACCGCCATCCCCAGGTACATCATGGCTTCGCAGTGGCCATGGCAGCCTCGGCCCTGAACTGCTCTGCCAGGGCTGCCCAGGGGATGAGGAGGCCTTTGGCCAGCTGTCTCCAGAGTTGCCCCTTGCAGGGTAGCAACAGCAGCCTTCTCAGTTGGCAGAACGCCTCTGGCTGGTGGCACTGCTTCTGTGGGCCCCACGCCAGGTACTGGGACCTGCCTTGAGCCAACAGTGGGAGGGCAGCAAGCAGCTGCCACCCTTACCTTCATGCCAAGGTACAGCTCCAGCACGTACCGCAGGTCCCACCCTACCCAGCATGCCCTCTGTGAGGGCCACTTCAGTCCCCGGACAAGCGTGGGGCTGGAGCCAGGGTCAGGTGGGAAAGCAGCCTTCACACAGATGGATCCTGTCCCCAGGGCCAGGGCCTGCCTTCCTGCTTTCCCAGAGCCCTGCACCCTTGGAGGATGGCTTACCTGCAGGGGCCAGGCCCTGGGGCTCCCAGCCAGCAGTGGGCACGTCCCTCCTCCTTACCCCACACTGCCACCCCTCAACCCCAGTGACCCCACCGTCTTCTCAAACATTCATTTATTATTGACAGCTGTGCTGTCTCTGGTGGAGCGTGGTCCCCGGGTGGGCTCATCTAGAGCAGGCACTTCTGCTCGTAGCCTCTCAGGGCTGTCTGTTGGCAGGGTCGCCGTCTCTGTGGCACTGGGGAGGTGCCCCTCAGAGGAGACGGGTCTGTCCATCTGATGGCGTGGAGAGGCTGTAAGAGAGGGGCTGGGATTACTTCCATCTCACTCCCCACTCCCCCACAGCCCACCTGTTTGCCCATGGCAGGTGCCCAGGGCCAAGTGCACACACAGCCAAAAGCCCGAGGCTGGCTCGGTTCCTGCCCGCCCATCTCTCTGAGGCTGGGCACTGTGAGGACCCTGTCTGTCAGGAGCTGAACTGCTATCGTGGAGACCACAGCTCTGGTGGTTTGAGTCCACCAGCAGCTTCAAGGGAGAAAGATGAGAACCTCTGGTGTGGTGTATAGCCTTGGAAACCAGGGTATTCAACTCCAGGGGCATGACGGAGAGAGAAAGAAATCTTGATGTGGGTAGACTACTCATCTTTCTCCTGAGGATTCGAACTGTTGACATCACAACACGTGACAGTGGTAAAACCCCTAGAGCTCCTATGGCGTAAAGGAAGGCTGCTTTATAATCTTCTTGAGCTAAAGAAATGGGCAAGCCCCTTTTTGGGTGAAGAGATTTTCTCTCAGTGATGTCCTCTCCATTAACACAGGGATTGTTAGAAAACCGTTCAAATTGATTTTAAAGCAACAACAATCACCAATTGACACAGAGTTGACTCCTATCTATCTCAGTTGCTGAGTCAGAGCCGAACAGAGTTCCACAGTTCGCCAGGGGCTGGATTTTCAGAAGCAGGTTGCCAGGCCTTTACTCTGAGGTGCCGTAAGGAGGCTTTGAACCTCAAGCTTCTTGGGTAGCAGCTGTGTTAACTGTTTGCACCACCCGGGGACCCCATTTACTCAGTTCACCATTTTTGTTAAGACCCACTCCCTGCTTCCATCAAGGGTCCAAGACAAAGAGAAGGGGTGCAAAGTACCCCAAGAAGATAGAGTTCCAGGAGCCAACAGCACAGATCTGTGTCCAGTGATGCCTCAGTACCACTGCTGCCTCTGGGCCAGACAGGCAGGCCTCCAATCACTGCTCTGCAACTTCCTAGCTGTGTGTCTCTGGGGAAGGGTCTTAACTTCTCTGTGCCTAGGTTTCCTCAGTTATAAATAGGGTTAACAGTGGGCCCCAGTGTTCCTGTGCAATATGTCATCAGTATGAGGAGAGGGGAACACTCCGTAAAGGTGAGGAGCCCCACAACTCGGAACCAACTCATTCCCCAGTGGATTTTCAGATGGAAACTGCCCGTCTTTCTTTCGTGGAGCAGATGGTGGATTTGAACCATGTGATTTTGAGTTGGTAGCACAGTTCCTTACCACTAGGCCACCAAAGCTCCCTGAATTCTCCTGGTAGGGTCCACTAACAAACATTGATCTAGTGACCCCTTGTGGACAGATGAAGAGTCTGGAGAGGCGAGCTCAGAGTTGAGAACCCAGTGCCCCACTCACACGCCCATGGCCTGCAGCTTCCAGGAGTGATTTCCCAGGTGAGCACAGGGATTCTGATTTAACACAGGCCACATACAGAGCCCATCATCTAAGCTGGAGAAAGATGCAACCACAGCCTTAGGCCGCATCCCCACCCCCTGACTCCCCATCTGTACGAGGACCTGACAGCATGGTCCAGGGCAGGCACTCAGGTCCTAGGCTCATCTTTCTACAGGAAATAAAGGGCTGGCAGACCAAGGAAAGGCCCAGGGTTAGTGCAGGGCTGTCCAGGTCACTCCAGCCGCAGGGACACTACCTGAGTTGCTGGCAGCCAGTAGATGTGCGCTCTGAGGCCGGTTCAGTGGCTGGCTGGCACTGTTCATGGCTGGCTGGCGCTGCATGTAGAGCCGGGACTGCTTGGACTTGTTCTTTGCTGCCCCTATGTCTGTGGGGACGAGACATTAGAGGAGAGCTTTGTGGGACCCGGAGAGGGACTGGGGGGGGGGGCGCTGCAGGCTTCAGTCCCAACCAGACCTCCCCGGGCCCCGTCTCCATCCAAATCCACAGCTGTGCCCCTTACTCATTGACTTGCACATTCATCCATCTAGTCATCTGTCTGTCTGTCAACCATCTAGCCATCATTTACTTATCTATTCATCTGCCCATCATTCCATCTCGTTTATTGCCCATTCAGTCATCTGCCCACCACTCATCATCTATCCATCCATTCATTTATCTGTCTAGTCGTCTGCCAATCCATGCAGTCATCCATCCATTTATCTGTCAAGTCATCTGTCCACCCACCCATCCATTCATCCAGCCATCCACCCAGTCATCTGCCCACCACTCATCATCTATCCATCCATTCATTTATCTATCTAGTCGTCTGCCAACCCATGCAGTCATCCATCCATCCATCCATCCACCCACCCACCCAGTCATCTGTCCATCCATCTATCCATCCATTTATCTATCAAGTCATCTGTCCATCCATCCATCCATCCATCCAGTCATCTGTCCATCCATTTATCTATCAAGTCATCTGCCCACCCATCTGTCCATCCATTTATCCATCTAGTCATCTGTCCATCCATCCATCCATCCATCCATCCATCCATCCATCCATCCAGTCATCTGTCCATCAATCCATCTGTTTATCATCCATCTATCCATCCATCCAGTCGTCTGTCCATCAATCCACCTATTTATCAATCTAGTCACCTGCCTATCCATCCATCTATCCATCCATTCAGTCATCTGCCCGTCTCCCTACACAGTCACCATCCACTCACTCAGATATTCTCTGAGAATATACATTTGTCCTCAGAGAATATTTCCCAGGTGCTTTCAACTTTTAGCTCCAGAGAGGCAAGCACTAGTCAGGTACATGTTAGCTCTAATAAAAGGTGAGGGGTGAGAAGTAGCATTCTTCAGCCGTGGAGAGCTAGAAGCGGGCCTTAGAGGACCATGCTGTCACAGAATGGTGGGCAGTCGGGGAGGCATCCAGCTGAGATTTGGAACAGGGATAGATTTTTGGCTGTGGCTTTGCTGTGAGTGAGGTCAGAGTAGGACAACATGATGGGGACAGGATGAAGAGAAAAGGTCAACGAGAAAAGATGGGGCTGTGACACTCTGTTGTCTGAACCTGAAGAGCTGTTCTCCACCTGCAAGCATTTACCTGGTGGCTTTGGGAGACTTGAATGAGGGAAAGACAGGAAGAGAGGCCAGGACCCAGTGGCCCAAAGAAGTGTGTGGTCGGCTGAGAGATGGGTGGTCACCATTGGGACCTAGGTAGCCGGACACTCACGATCTTTGGTCAGGATGCCCGGCAGCCGTGTATCCATCCGTCCCTTGTAAATATGTCCATCCAGACCCAAGATGTCCACCTCGTCATCCTGTAGAGATGGACATGCTACACACCATTGCAACTCCCGGAGCTTTCCTCTGGAGGCAGCATGCCACGCCCCATCCTCTGATTCTTGGCACCCGGCAGTGCCCAGAACCTCCCTGGGCTTGGGGTTGGTACCAGGCAGAGGCAGAGCACCCGTGGGAGGGGACCTGGAGGCAGGGTCAGGCTGAAGGCTCAAGAGGGGAGGCTGCTGTGCATGTGGGCAGAGGCTACAGGAGAAGATGCTGAGACTTCAGCTGGTTCAGCTTAGGTTGCCAAGGTGCCAGGTTGCTGAGGAAGCGTCTGGGATTGTCCCTGGATGAATGGCGAATCTCTGGGAGCAGGGGCCTCCCTCCTGCAGGCAGCCCCTCACCTTCATGGCCGTCTGGATCTCCTCGGTGGGATACGTGCTATGTGGCAGGTGCTGCAGGCGGCTGCGGCGGTACGGGTAGGTGAGGGTGTGGCTGCCCCCGCAGCGCCGGGGCATGGACGAGTAGGTGTAGTCGGACATGTCCGTCACCCTGTGGGGAGGAGAGCCGTGGAGGCGCGTGAAGCAGGCCACTGGGGACATGGCCTGGGACACACCCACGAAGGGGTGGCCAGAGGGAAGTAAGGCAAATTCTCTTCAAGGGCCTCTCAGAGATAGGGCAGGGGTAGGCTGTGAGTGAGCAGGGCAACCGTGGAGGAACACACCCTCACGTATGTGCACACACAACAGTCACAACTCACACACGTCCATGCACACACACACAGGCACATACAGCACCCACAGACACAAGCATGTACTCACACATGTACACTCGCTCATCCCAGCATTCACGTGCACACGCATTCACAACACTCATGCGCAAGCAATACTCACACACAACTTTAACACATCCACACACACACAGCACTCACATATGCACATAAACCCTCACACACACACAGACACACACTTCTGCCGCCATAAACCCTCACACACACACAGCACTCACATATGCACATAAACCCTAACACACACACACACAGCACTCACATATGCACATAAACCCTAACACACACACAGACACACACTTCTGCCATAAACCCTCACACACACACACACACGCAGGCACACACTTCTGCTATAAACCTTAACACACACACAGGCACACACTTCTGCCATCAGATGCCCCTGGTACTGCTAGCCTAGGCCCAGAGCCTCCAACTAGCATCCCAGGCTGAACACACACCCAACAGACACGCACGGAGTGAACTGAAGCCCCCAGAGAAGTCGCTTCCATCCTCACGCACTGCTCTCCTAGGCTGAGATGCCAGACCCGCACACACATCACAGACATGCTCATTGCCCACTCTCACCGCTCGGCCACCTGACACACTCGTTCTCACTCATTACACGTGTTCACGCTCACTCTCCCACATCCACCTCAGCTGCTCACATTGGCTGCAGCTCACCGCCTCTCACTTTCATTCTCACTCCCTCCCTCTTTCTCTCTCACTTGTCGCTTCCTCAGCTCCTTCAGGGCTGCTCATTCCCTACTCTCTGCCAGCGTCCACCCCTGCAGGGAGGTGGTCCTCTCTTGACCTGAGAAGCACAGCACTGCCCCCTGGGCTCCCTGCACCCCCACTCTTCCCCATTCTTCCTACCGCTTGTAGCAGGGAGAACTGAAGCAGTGAGCCTGCAGCAGCTCTCGGATCATCTGGCCGCTGGCCTTGACCGAGCCCCCGAAGTGGATCTGCACCTTCTCGATGTCCATGAGCATCTTGGAGTGCATGGTCTTCAGGCGGCCCACACTCCGCTCCACCTGCCCCAGCTCGCTCCGTGGGAAGACACTGCCCATCTTTTGGCTGCCGGTGGGGACAGAACGGAGGGAGTGGGAAGCCAGGCCTCAGGGGTGGCCCCCACCCTGATCTCAGGCAGTGCTGCCCCTTCTCCCTCCGTGGTGGGAGTCCGCCATCAAGCATGGTGCCTCCCTCCTGCGCCAGGCCCTGTGAGGCAGGACGCTGAGGGACGGAGTCTGACTTGTCCAGGAACTCTCCAAGCCCCAGGGAGAAAGCTCTAGCTGAAACCAGGACAGCAACGCTAGAAGCTGACAACTCTCCCTTCCTGTCCCCCTTTCTGCACACTAAAACGTTCACTCAGAGCCCCTGGGACCCCAACACAGTCTGAAGACTGCCCCAATTTTCTAAGCCATGCTTCTGGCTAGGGGACACCCATCTCCAGTCCAGATTCTGCTGGGGCAGATAAAGGAGAGAAGGGCGAGCTCTTCAAGGAAGCCTAGAGGCAAC